GATGGTGCTGCTTCTGCCACACAATTAGGCAGAGCCAGAGCCCCGACCTCCTCCTCCTCTTCCACACCACAGCACGCCCTGCCGCTACGACTGACCCGACAATTTTTTGCATTTCCAACTAATTCGCCAGCAGCGCCGCTCCACTCACAGTTTGCCTATAAATCTCACTCAGAGTGCAACCTAATGAGGCCTGAGGGTGTGTTTTGGCAGCAAATTAACTCATTGCCACTCCGGCTCGCGGTTCTTCATCTTTTGCATGGATCTCCCTTTCTAATTTGTGGTGTGTCCGCGGACACGCGGACGCTCTGACATTGAGAAAGCACCCCCCCAGACCCACAGATTGGCATGCAAATGCGGAGCGCGAGCGGCTAAATCTAAAAATATGCAAGTTATTCGCCGCCTGCCATCGGTCGGGCAGCAGACGGCAGACGGCAAACGGCAGGCATCTCGCCTTAATTAGACTTGTTATGACTGGTCAGTTTTGCAATTTGCAATTAAAACTATGCACACGAGTGCTTCGACAGCTGCTCCGAGAAGTGGAAATGGAATTGGAATAAGAAATGTTGCCCCAGCCACTCCATTCAGCCTTCGGTCTTCTAACACAAGAGTCAATAACTAACATGGAACCCTGTTGGATAAGGCTCTGGGTCTGAAGGCTGGTCACCATGTCGAATGAATTATTGCCTAGGCTAGCATGTCCCTCCCAGTCTCTCTCTCTCTGGGAATTTGTTTTGTTTAGGAGAGCCTTCACGGCATGAGTGTTTATCCCAACTCTTGGAGATCCTTCAGAGCTGTCTGAAGCTTATCAAATTCAAGCAAACTTTCCGTTCAGTTCTAATGCCGCACAAAGGATCTTCAAATCCACTCGAACAAACAAAATTCCAAGCAACAGAACCAAAACTTTTTCTACTATATTTCAATCAGAACGCTTGAGAGCGACTCAACTTTAACCTTCAACTTGGCATCGTGGTGTGGGTATGGGGGGGAAGAGCGGGTCTGCACAGCAAACACTTGATACACTTCCACGGCCCCTGGCCCCTGGCTCGGTTGAACGAACAACAATGTTCCCTACTCTGCTGCCGTCTTTGTCTTGACTGTTAACAAATTTCCAAGTAAAATATTTCTGGGAATTCTTTCCCAAACACAACAGCAGCAACAACAACAACAACAAGCAGCGACTGGCAAACAAAGCGCATGTGCCGACATCCCCTCAAACTTCCCCCTCTCTCTCTCTCCTAACTCTTCACTTGGCTGTGTCTCTTTCTGCTTCTCTTTTTGGCATGCGCAATGAAAGAGCAAAGAAGAAGCTTTCGTCGATGATTGCGCAAGCGCAACTAAAGCAGCAGCAGCAGCAGCAGAAACACACACACAAAAAGAAGAGCGATGAAGAAGCAGAGGAAGCAGTGGACAACCCTGCGGAGAGACTGGAATTTTTATGGCATTTCACATGGTTGAAGCTCACACTTACACATCCTCCTTCTGCACTCCCCCATCCAAACCATGTCTCTCTGCTGCAACAACAAAAGGCTTCCATTGTCTCACTCTCTCCCTCTGCCTCTCCCTGACATTTGTGGGGTGGAGGGAGGAGAGGAAACAAACCCGGCGCGACATGTAAATTAGTGCAAAAGTATTTGCATTTTAATGTAAATCCAACAACAACAGCGAGACAACGACAACGACAGTGCCTTGCCGCTGCCGCTGCCGCCGCTGCAAAGTCAATTTGAACAGAAAATTGCAATTAATGCAATTTGCATTGTAAATTTCAGTTAAAAGAGGGAACACAACCCTTTATCAGTTGGGGGACATCGAAAGTACTGCAAGCGGAAAGGAGTAAATGCGATTTGCAAAATTGAAGCCATTCCAATGAAGGAGATGAGATGATGGCCATAAGATAAGACTCGGGCGATCAAAGAAACCGCTTGCCAATGGAGTTCATGTCGAAAAGCTTTACCAGTGCGAGTACAATAAATAAGTGGGCAGAGGCAGACTCAGGTTGTGTTTGGCAAGAGCTTTCTTTTAGTTGAAAACCGTATACCTGATACCATACTCCACTTGTCTCGGCACTAGAAAGATATTTATCTAATTGGTGGTTCCTTCCACTTCTAAAAACTGTTTCGTAAAATCCATTAAATAAAATATTGTATTTAAAAAAAAAAGCACAACGATGATCCCTCCCCTCCCGTTGAACCAACACGAATGCGAAACATGGCAATTAACGGTAAATGATGCTTTACTTATGACACCAAAATCATTTGGTGAGTGAAGAGATCAAAGGAGATGATTTACCTAAAAAACTGCAGCTATTCCCGCTTCCAGATCGACGACCGGTTGTTTTATTGCAGCTCCAATTATTTTCAAAATTTCCTTTATCCTTTGCGTTGTCGCTGTGGTTGTTGTTATGATTGTTGTTGGTGGTGTTGCTGGTGTTGTTGCTGTTGCCGATTATAAAGCTTGTGGTCGTCTGGCTGTTGGTGTTGTTATTTCGGGTTATGTTGCTGGTGCCTTTGCCACTCGAAGAGCGGTTGGTTAGTGGGAACATGGCATGTATCTTTTGTGGTTCGCTGTGGGTTCGTTGGTTGCCTCATGTATGCCCCAAGTATCTCAGCATCGGTATCTGTAGCTGGTTGCTGGTTGCTGTATCTATAGCTTTCAGATGGATGCAGTTCCAGCTGCCTGTTGCCGGTGAGGCGAATCCTTTTAAGTCGTTGCCCTGGCTGCCGGGCGCCGGATTTAGCCTTGTTTCTTGTTGCCTCAATACTTGTCTGTCTTCCTGCTCATTCTCTCCTCTGTCACACTTTTTGTATCACGTTCTCTTGGTCGCTCCTTTTTTTTTATATTCGATTTGTTTCGTTTGATTCGTTTTCAAAATGCACCTACAAAAGCCGCCGTGGAATGCAATGCTTTGAGTTAAAATAAATCACTAAATAAAGATGTTGGCTCTCATTTCCTACTATTAGATTGAGCAGTTGGTTCCCTTTGGATCCTCTTTTGTTTTGGCCATAATGTGCAAAGAACTTTACTGTAATTTTATCATTTATAAATTTTAATGTAAGACAATTTCATCAAATTTAGTAATTGCTTTGCCCGCATGACTCTTAAATCATTTCTTACTATATTATCTTATCCCCCGCTTTGGAGAGGAGTCATCGGTAAACAGTAAAATACTTTTCACATAACACAAGAGGAATTCCTAGACGATTATGCACACACACACACACAGAGCACACACTCAAAACAAACACTAGTATTTATATTCGGCTAAGTTTATTACATTTTTATTCAGTGCATTCCACATTCCACATTACTCATCACCTGCCACAAAGAAACGGCACATGGAAACTCTGTTTAACTTAGCAATTTTGCACTTTTTTTTTTTTGGCAATTTGACATACGAGTATGTAGCATATTTCTGAAATGAGAACCGTATCCAAAGTAGCGACGATGCCGGGCCCGTCCCTCCGTACGATTGATCGCGGTTGGCGGAGCCGTTGCTTGGCCGAGAGGTGCGCGTGCGCGAGCTTTAAAATGCGTTTGAAAACTGAGCGGGCGGAAAGCCAGGCCAGACACATGGTATAACTTTGCCATGCTATACCTTGCCGCAAGGTAGGGACAACTCAGCGCCCAAGCATGCGCGCCTGCACGTTCTGTGTACCGAAAGAGATTGGTCCCTCAAATGGAGAGAGCTCGCTAGGCTGGCACCACCCCCCTTAATGCTATGCCAAAGCCAGACAAGTGTCGGACTCTCTCTCTCTCCACACAGTGGGCTGAGAGAGCGCGCGCAACTCTCGGGCACATTTACCGGTTTTCCGTAAAGCCAAGACACAGTTCAGCGTGTGCTTGCGCTCTCGTCGTCGTGTCGTTACTCTTCTCTCCCGCTGTCTTTCTGCTCTCCAGCTCCAGCTGATATGCGATCTCTGCACGGCGCTCGGCGTGCGTTGGTTGTCGTTGTCTCTGTCGCTGTCTCTGCGTCTGTCTTATCAGTTCCACTATCACTCTTTTTCTTTTTTTTCAATTTGTGTGGAAGCATTCATTCACGCTGAGTTCTAGTATTTGTATTTGTTCTTTATGGGTTTTGACTGATTGAGGTGCTGACTTGGTCGCGTCGCTTATCGCTCGCTCTCCCTTACCTCCCCCCCGCACACACCGCATCCGGCTGACCGAGGAGCAAATGATGACGCAAGCGAATGTGCGAGGTGCCTTTCCTCTCCGGGGGCTCCTCTCAGATAAGTGACTGGTCGAAAGTGAGTGGATTAGGCAAGACATCGACATCGATTTGGCCGAGAATGAGCTGGAATGGTGTCACTCTGCAGGGTGCCGTCGGGACTCCCTTGAAATTATTCTAAGGCCCGCTGCTGCTACACTCTACATCGGCTTTTCACCGATGGATGGCAACGTGCAAACATTATTATTTTCGAATATTTACATAAATAAAATGATAAGATAGGAGTCCTATTTGATCTGTGCCTTCCATCAGGAGAGGTGTTCAGAGTAACTGTAGTTTTTGTGGCCAGGTGTCACAAAAACCAAAATCAATAATTCCTTTAAAAAATAAATATTCCCATTTCCCAAATTAGTTTTATATTGAAAGCCGCTACCCAATCAAATGGGACTGCAACTCCATTTCTGGTAGCATTGCAATCACATGGGAAGGTTTCCCAAGTTTTGAAACGTTTTTTGATAGCTGTAAGCCAAACAGAATTTTCAATTACACTAGAATTAATCTACTCATTAGGTGGAAGAGAGAAGAAAGAAACGCGCCCGCCCGCCCGCGTCCAGCTCACGTAATCTTCGAGCAATAACAATAATGGTTTGTAATCGCTCGAAACATGTTCATGTTCGTGTTCGTGTTGGTCGTAGATCCCTCAGTTATTGAGTCCATGTAAAGCGATCAAATGAGCTAATACCTGTGACACAATCGTGATTAATGGGCTTTGATTGCAGCAGAGAGGGCAAGGGAGAACGACAGAGAGCCATGTGCATGGGGATATTTCGATTACATTTTATGTGTAGAAATCTTTGCCATAACCAACATCTAGAAAATTACAAATAATTACAGGAATCTACTTGATAAGAGAGCCATAAATATTAAGAAAAGAAAAGTAGAAAAGTAAAGCAGCAACTGATTTAAACATTTTGCAATGTTGCACTGGAAATCTAGAAGTTATCTTAGAGTGGGAACCACAAAAGTTCTTCAAGTTCTCATGCCGTTGCATTCTTGGACTTGTATCCCTTTGTGTCGTAAATTGTGTTTAATCAAGAGCCAAGTAAATGGTTTCCATCGTAGCACTTTCATTATCGCAACACTGGCCAAGAGTAACTACAGAGTTCAACTCATAAATATTGAAAGAGCAATTGCGAAATTCAAATTCAAGTGCATCGATTGTGGGAAATCAGCGACTCGCCCCGACTCGGGGGCCTTATCGAACACACAAAATGCATTCAACGCAGTGCGTGCGCTGGGATTTTATTGAGTCTCCTATCTGGATCCGAGCTTGGGATCCATCCATTGCCAATAAATAGTTACCACCGGGTCCAGCTGTGCCCACGGGCAACATAGTTGCAATGGCACAACTGTGTCCGAGTGTTGGCCTCTCTCGCATCCGTCAGATACAGATAGTTTTCAGCCGGTTTCTCGATTCGTTGTTGGTTGGTTGGTCCATTCATGGCAACTACCGTTTGGGTCTTTTGTTTGACTTTGTCTTGCGGCCGTCGGCTCTCCTCCAAGTCTATTTGTAGATACAAGCAGCCAAACAACAAGCGTCTGCCACTGCCACTGCCTGTGATTGTGACTGTGCATGTGCCTGTCTTCGTCTACGTCTACGTCTTCCCCATTTCTCTGCGGTGGAGTGGAGTGAAGTGTGTGTGTGTGCTGAGAGGCTCTTCTACCTGTTCCATGGATGCGTCTTCGCTTTGGGGTCGCTTCGGTTCGGTTCAGTCTCTCTGCACGTTCTCAGCGCTATCTCAAGTGTTTTTTAAAAGTTTTCCAGCGATAAGCAATGGAACTTTATGGCCCAGCCACATCCACTCGCACTCAATGCACCCCCTGGCAGTGGCTATGGCTGGAGCTTCATCATCATCATCCATCCTAGTTTGCCATGGTTTGGTGTGGCACTGGCACGGTGTTCGGTCGGTGTGTGATCATGATGCATATGATTCATGACTTTTCACTTTTTCGCACACACACCGCAACAAGCCACGAATTTCCACAGGCATGGCAGAACAGTGGATGAAAATTTAGAAAAATATGCGAATATCTGCGAACGGGGTACAGAGTTTTTTTTTTCGAAATATATGAAGATAATATTTGGCTCCCAAAAAGGTTCCTTTTCTGATAAGCTAATGACAAATCAAACACAAAAAAAAGAGTTAAGCTGAAATTATATTTGTTAAGAGCTTTAAGCGGACGACACCCACTATGCAAATATTGACGGGTCTGAGAGGCCGATGCTGACACTTAACCCTTGCATAAATTCTCATCAGCATTGTGGATGGGGAGGCTTTGGTGTGGCACGTAAATTACTGTGACATTGCACTTTGCAGCATCATTTGGCAATTTGTTGCAACAATTTTTTTTTTGTGTTGGTTGCTGTGCCAGTTTATTGATTAGTTTTAAATGAAAAGTGGAAGGAAGTCAGCAGCAGGCTGGCTACATAAATCTTGGCCAATTTTCTTATTAGAAACTGTCAATGTCAGCGCATTTTCACCCCGAGGCGGAGTCGCCGAGGATCCTACTTGCTGGCCACGGTCATATGCTAACCAAATAAGAGATATATAAAATCCACTTGGATGATTTATGACCCTGGTGCTGCTCGCTTGTTAAACATCTGTATGAAATGGCTTTCTCTCTCCCTCTTTGCTTGGCTTTGTTTGCTCTACGGCCGATTGAATCGTACCAATCGTAGCACCATTCGCCCGGTGGTTGGTTACTGAGAGGATGTTGTTGTGGATGCTGATGATGTTGAAGTGTGTGCTGGGGGTCAGCGTTGGTTAGCCGCCGCCTTGCGGGCTACCTTTCTAATGCCGAAAGAAATGAGTCCGTTGCGAGTCGGTCATTAAAACAGTTGAGAAGAAGAGGAGTAAGAGTACGAGGAGTACGAGCAGTACGAGGAGTACTCACAGATACCACTGTGTCTATGTCCGGTAATGAAGGATTGTAAATGAGTTTAATGTCGGGCTGCATTGATGAATTGCCATTCAGTCATCATTCAAATGGAAATACAAGAGAAATCGCCAAAAAAGTAATAAATATCTATGCCAAGGATTGTGAGTGAGTCTCTCTCACAATTAGCCGTTAATGGATAATTTTATGGATTTTATAGCAATTATTAAGTGTGTGTGTGTGAAGCACTCACCGGACTCTGCCGCGCTCAGGCACTTGGCGGACGCCTCCTCGTTCAGCTCCTCCTCGGGATTGGCATCGTCCGTGTCCAGGAGGCCGTAGCTAACGCTGGCCGAGCTCCAGTCGAGGGCACTCACGCCATCGCTGGACATCATGGAGATGTCCATGGGTGGGACGGAGGTGCCGCGCAGTGTGCTAGTGGCACTGATGCCGCCAGAGTCGCCTCCGCCGCCGCCGCCGCCCACTGAGACGACCAGCGAGGAGTACTTGAGATCAAGGGATGAGTTCATGGAGCCGCCGTAGATGGAGCTGGTGAGGGAGGCGCAGGTGGAGTCGAAGCTGCGGTTGCTGGCGCGACGCTTCTCGGGCGTGGCATAAACGGGCTCGGGTTGTTCTCTTTCTTTTTTGGGTGTGCCCATCTCTGAGTAGGCGGGCGGGGCTGTCGAGGAGTTTTCACTGGCCATGGAGCCGTTCAGTGTGCCGTAGACGGAGGTCATCATAATGTCGTTGCGATTGAAGCTGTGCTGCCAGTAGTCCTCTTCCACATTGCCCGAATCGACTAGATCCGAGGACTCCTCTTGCTGCTGCTGCTGCTCATCGGCCACCAGCTCGTCCAGATAATCGGCATCGCACAGTCGCGACTCATCGATCATGGCAATCGTATCATCCGCATCCGCATCCCCATCCCCATCCTCGCTACCAGACTGACCCTCCTCGTCCTCCTCCTCGCAGCTCTGCTCTGCATTGGCGTTGAGCTTCTGGAAGGTCTCGTCCGCCTGCTGCATCATGTCGTAGGCATGCGGAATGGAGCTGCCGGCCAGCGAGTCGGCGTCGTTCTCCTCGATGCAGGACAAGTGACGTGTCCGAAAGCCGTAGATAATCCCATTGGCGAGCAGTTTCGGTGGCGGATTAATGGGCAGCGGTGGCGTCGCTAAATCCAGCTGTTCGTCGTCCATGTGATGGAGTGGCATCGGCTGCAGGGTGGCCATATGCTAAAAAGGATAACAATAGAAGGAATTTTATTACAAAAATGAAAGTGAAATTAGGAAATAATAATAATAAAAATAAAAATAAGAACGGCTCTGCGGGGTTATTGATCCTGATCTGCGGCTGAACTACTGTGTGTTTCCAGCTTCCATCCAAGCACAACTGTACCTGGACAATGCTCCACATTCAACATAATTTGACATATGTAATTTGAGGGCTGACTTGACATTAACGATCCTCCATAAAAGACACACACACACACACACAGCACACAGCACACGGGGATGTACGTACAGCGGAAATGAGCCCAAATCTTAGCTCAACTCATGCCCGAAGATATTGTACATCTGTAGGTGCGAGCTTATAGGCGATAAGCCCGGGAAACTTTAATGCCACTTAATGCCAGGGCAACAACAGAACGTGAAATTGTTTCAACATAAATCTCACACATGTGTGTGTGTGTGTGTGTGTGGGGGAAGGGCAAAGAGGGGGCACACGCACACACATGCTGCCGGAGCTGGAGACGGAAGTGTCCCCCAAACCAAAAACGATAGACGCTCGCATGCACGCAACTTCCCCCATTTATGGCCACATGTGAGCGCATCTTCAACGTGTGGCCCCCTGCAACGATGCTGCTGCCTCTGCTGGCGTCTGCTTCTTCCGTGGTGCAAAGAACTCGTAATAGTTCTGCTGCCATTACATGGGCAATGTCGTCGCACTCTTGACATACGAGTCCAACCAGGCCGGAGTCGGTCTGTCTCCCATCCCCCATACCCCCCATACCCATGCTCCGCTCCACTCAAGTAGGTGTTGTCTTAGTTATTGTTGCTGTCTTAGATGCTCTGCTGTAGCTCACTATTTTTAAGTCGCTTGCGCCACCATTGGCGGAAAACTAGCGAACTAGGGACTACGACTACGACTCCGACTCCGACTGGGACTCAATGGCGGTGTGGAAAACTCCTTGAACATTGACTCAGGCAGTGCAAAGTTTTCTTAAATAAACATCTCTGTGCCGATCCGTTTGCAGTTTGTTTGAATGCAAAATTTGTTATGGCTGGTGGCCTGAACTTGGTTTTGGTTTTGGTTTGGTCTGCGGCATTTGGGGGAAAAATACACTGACAAAAGTTGGCATCAGTTCAAAGAAACTCAGAATTGAATATATATAAATATACTTAGTAGAGCATTAATACGCCGCCTCATGCACACGAAATGTATGTACTTTTTTGTTTACTATTCTGGGGCATTCTCTTTTGCAGCATTCGCTTGTGCAGCACGAGTCGCGCCATGCGGTAGGGAAGCGAGCAGTGGGGTTAAGCTGTGATTTAGTGTTTGTTAAACTCGATTGTTTTTTCTTGGCGAGATAAAAATCACGTTTTATTCTGCCCAAAAGTAATGTTACATTTTCCACAGTGTAGAATTTCCACCAAACTAATGCAACAAACAAATTACTTGAGGCGACGAAAAACTATACATCCCATCCCATCTCTCTCTCTCTCTCTCTCTCTCTATCTGCGGGACTCTGGGGCTAAGGCTAGGCCAAAAATAGATCAACCAAACGATCGCATCGGGTGACGCTGACGCGTCTGTTGTGCACGGAGCACGGGAAGCGGAGGCTGCCGCCGCTGCCTGTTCTGTTTGCAGGGGAAACCAAAATGACGCGACGTGGTGGCAGTTGTTTGTCGTGCGCCAAAGCCAAATGCGGGAAAATGCAGCAGAGCAAAGGGAATTGGGTGTGGGACGCGGGACGGCGGGGCCAGGGGACGAGGACCGAGGAACCCCAGCAAACTGCATTAAACTACTTTCGTTGCAGTTTATTGCTTTGTCTGCGCGCGTTTCTACTTTTAGCTATTCCATGCATGTGTGTGTGTGCGTGAGTTTGTGCAAGGTATATTATATTAAAGGTAAGGCAATCCGAGAGAGTGGACTCCCATGTGCGGATGCCACAAAAAGATTGTACAGCTATCAGCAGCACAAATAATAAATATTGATAATAATTTATTGGGAAATATCGAAATAAATGCAGAGAGAGGGACTGCCTCCCCTCCACCTCACATTTTATATGCCCAGTGTACTCGTACATATCTCAGCCTCTGGTGAGAATCTTGAACTTGTGCTGCTTCGTGCACTCTTTTTTTTTTTTGTGTTTACATATTTCTTCGTTCTTTTTGGGTGGAAAGTGAAACGAGAAGAGAGTGGTGAAAATGCTTACAAATGTCGGGCAGGGGAAAGGTAATGGGGAACCATCGAAGATGCGACATTTTTCAGCTTGTTTCCAATTTAAATCAGCGTCCCTCCGCTTCGCCTCCCGCCCGCTCCGATACGACCCCTGTCCTGCCAATGTCTTTGTTTCGGCTCGCCCTTCCAGACACTCATTTGCACTCAAATGCATTGAGAATTGTGGTCACTGAACGATACGGGGGGGGACGGGGACACCCAGGGACATGCCTATACACATTCCTACAGCCAAGAAGCATTATATTGGCATTACTCATTTCGTTGCCATTTCGTTGTCTGGGTTTAAAGCGAACTCTTAGATATTCTTAGTACGAAATGAAAGTTTCACAATGCAAAAAGTATGCTACGATTATATGAAGAAAGCACTGAGCCAGGGGAAACTTGAGCTCCAGCAAAAAAAAAAAAAAACCAACAGATTTTAAAATATAACAAATAACTGCACTGCCATTTACGATTATTATTATAAATTTATTATTATATATATGCATAAATGTTTCTTGTACATTTTCAGCTCGAACCTTGAATTAACTTTTGTTTTTCGCTTGTTAACGATCACTTTGTTGTTGTTAAAGCTTGCAAAAAATATTGGAATAACACTTTGAAGGCACAACCATAGAAGTTAGCAGCTTTGCACTTTCTTTTCTGTCAGAATTCTGTCATTCACTTTCACTGATAATCCAATGTGATAAATAGTCCGATTGGGGATTCGCCTGCACGCGATCTATACTGCCACACGGCTGCCTGTATCCGTACCGTGTCTCTGGTGTGCCGTAACGTATCCGTACCGAGCGCGCGCTGGAATGCAATTGAATCGCCTCGGAAGCCAGTTCACGGCACCAACTGCATCCGTTGCAGCAGTTGCAGCCGTTGCAGCCGTTGCAGCCGTAAGGCAGCGCAGTCGCAGCAGCAGCAGCAGCCTCCCTCGGCAACAAGAAGATGATATGAGATGTGTTCCCGATACTAACTAGACGGAGACAACGTCGCGCGGCCGGCTAAAAATAGTCCAGAGTCGGACGTGCAGTCAGCGCCGGTCCATCACTTTTGTTAGATTCCGTTTTCCCTCCGTGTCCCCGACCCAGTCCCCTACCTTTCCGCCTTACCCCGCGCACATGCCACATCAACCAGCCGCAGCAGACGCGACGTCTGTTTGTGTTGCACCCCGCGAAGCCGGAGTCGGATTCTCGGTTTCTAATGGGGGTCCCGCAGTGAAACGGCAGCCAAAGTTTGCCAGCGGAACCAGAGGTGTCGCTTGCTTGGTTGCCATTTAATTGCACGCGCATCCAGGGCCCCATGGCACTGAAGTGGGCCTGCGCCAAGGGGCATGGAATGGCTATTAGTGCCACTATATGCCTGCCCTGTTCAAGATAATACAATCGAATGTAAAGTGCCTTTAAATGCGTATTTCACGTACACCCCAGTACCTTTCAAATCCTGCCTCGAAAATTCCACAGCTATATCCATATCCTGCTGACTGTACAGACACACAAACATCCACGCAACCCCAAGCCGAGTTCAATGCACTTAAGCCAAAAGGCAACAAGTCTGCGTTGCAGGATTGGTCACAATTGCAGTTCATTCAACCTGGGAACAGGCAGGAGAGGTGACTGCGACTGCCTGGATCTCTATGCGACGGAAGTGGACTAATTTTTCATGTTTTGAAATTGGATGACAACGAAACAGGAGGACGACAGGGGGACTATCTTCCAAGGAAGACAGACGAAGACAGCGACGCATGCGCAGCAGAGTTTGTTCACCTCAATGCTGCGTACTAGACACACACACACACACACACACACACATGCTATGCTGTGCTCTGCTATGCCTGTACTAAGTAGTTATAGTTACGCACGGATTGTGTTACATGCTGCCCAAATGCTTCGCTGGAAAAGTGCTCAGCCCGACCCCTGGATTTCGGTTGATTTTTCCAGACAACTGTTTCGATTTCTGATTACATTTTCCCTGTATTTATCTTCGGCTGCTTTCATATCATTTCCACTTTCACCGCGCGATGGGGGAGGGTGCTGCGACGTGTCGTGTGAATGATTTGTGACACCTTTTTGATGACTTTTGATGCTGCTGCGCCTGCGCATGGAATCTTCTTAACCTTGGGGGATAATTTAAAGAGTCCGCTGGCTGCAGGCAGGCTTTAAAATCGATCTGCTCCAGTCTGTCGTCATGATAAATTATTGTGGGAAATTCACATACATTTTTGGGAAAACCAAATTCATTGGGAATGAATGTGTTTACCCCAACAGCAGAGATTATTATACATTTGGTCATAGACCCCATAAGGGACGTATGACCACAGGACACAGATGCAGAAATATATTCTTAATTAGGACTTGGACATTTCTTGTTGTTGATTAAGATTTGGCAGATTTTTGTTTATTGTTATTCCAATTGCTCCAGAATATAATTTTGACTAGTTTGCATAGAAATATACGAACGGAGAAACTCGGGAGAAGCAATTCCCCCCACATTCCCACCACATTCCAACTACATTTTTCGGTGGCGACACATCGACCGCCACCAGTTCATACTTTCAGGCAGAGTTGGGCATATATTGGACTAAATTTATAAAGTATCTTTTGGGCTGGCTTTATATAGATTGTTTAAAATCCCAACTACTCACTTGGTCGTAAGTCCTCTTTTGGGGTTGGCGCACCAGCACCCACCCAGGTTCTTCTTCAAGGACGGCTGGACCTGACGAGCAAGTATTCGAGCATTTCATATTTCATATTCATATTTCATATTTGCTAGCACTTAGCAGCTGCTGCATTTCCGCCTTATGTTTTATAATGTTTCCGATTTCAAACAGCAGCACCGATGCCTGTTTCAGTCTTTCTTGGCATTTCACTGGCCTCATGGCGGCCAGCGCCTCATCCTTGACATCCGCCACCAGCATTTCCTTGGCGCCACTTCAAGTTGCACAGCTACCACTCTCATTTGGCCGTGAATAAGCTTTTCTGCTGCCGCTGTTTTTGTAGTTAGTCTGCATTGCTATTTCCACGCCCAATTTGCCTGATCTTGCCAGCTGTGGAACGCCTTTGTTTACCTTTTGCAACGCAAAAAAGAGCACACTGAAATATATCAACAAATGGGCAAAACATCGATAGTATATTTATCGCACAAAAGTATCGATATTTTCAGCAAGTCTGCCATATGGATATGAAAACATTGCATTTGGTAACACACAACTACTTGCTGCCATGACACTTGGCGCGAGTTCTTTAGTTTTTGAATATTTCAACAATGAAACGTTGTATATTTAGCAGCAATTTTACAAAGCTTTCAAGGCTATTTGCTGGGATCAAATAAATGCAAAATTAATTTCAAAATTATGACGTGCGTCACGATGTGTTACAGCTCAACAGTGCTGCCAGACTTGTGTTTGGTTATACGCTTGTCCGATAGGTGGCGTACGGGAGAAACATGCTAATGTAGGCGGGAAATTGGAAATAATTTCTTGAACGCTAAATTCAAAAAAAATAAGCTGCCTAGGCATTCTAAATTGAACTGATAGACACGAAGCGTGCCAAGCCCGAATTTGTGCCAGTTGCAATAAAATATAAATAGAGTACGTACAACTAAATCCAAATGTTTCATACAACCAAATTCAATTTACACAATTTAAAAATATGTTTAATGAAGAACCCAATAAAGAAATGCAGAGAGTAGAACATCAATAATTATGTATACCCATCAACCCGTGTTGCATAGACTTTGATGTCAGTCCTCCACTTCTTGAGCATGGATGTTCGCAATTGGAGTACGTAGACGCCTTTTGGTAGAGGAATCTCTTTGAGTGTGCTCTCATCGATGGGGAAGCCATTGAAAATGTAGTCTTGCTGTAGAGGGCACGATGTATTGATATTCGTTATCTTGAGCAACGGATTGATGAGGAAGCCAATGAATCCGGACACCAATGGATGGCGCCTAAACGAGCAAAAGTCCAGGGTCTCGTTCACAAATTGAAAGTGACGATTTTTCAATATTTTGATAACGCCCAAATTAACCTGCAGCAACACTTAGTATTAGCCAAACCAACCACTGGGGATGTAATGGGACACGCAGCGCATACTCACGATGATGTCATCGATGGGCCCCTTGTATGGCATCGTTATATGGACATATAGTGCCGCCCTGCCGTGCTCCCTGTGCACAACTTTACAGGTTTTAAAGAGGGAAAACGTTGGGTCTAACGTGCGACACTCCATTTTGGTGACTCTGAAGACCCTGGCCTCGATGGTGTGCGGCTCCTTCAGCAACAGCAGCAGCAGCAGCAGTGTAGACAGTATGAGACTGGACAGGATCAGCTGCTGATCTTTCATGTTCCCCAAACGGAATGAGACATTAAACTGATGGATATTTGTGTTGGGTAATGGACAAGTTTATGGGCTTATGGGCTTTAACATGGTTCACAGTATCGTTTGATTGGGGCCTAATTGTTTTTTGTTATCTTCGATCAGCGCTGCTTATTGAAAAACGATGATTGAAAAACTATCCACGCACTCCATACAAGTTGACCTGTAGGCGCCAGACCTTAAAAGCGCCCACAGTCACCGTCAGCTTGTATTCGCCATTGGGCAGTGGCAGGTCCCGGACGGCCTGCTCGCTGAGCGTCATCTTCCTCAGATAGATATCCTTTTCCTGTGGGCCCAAAGAATGGTTTAAGTATGGTGCACATCAGTCAGGGGTTAGCTGGTTAGCTGAGACCTACTTGATAGGGACAGGTGTGATTGGCATTTGTGGCGCTCATCAGCGAGTCGTGGAATATGTAGAAGAGCGGATACTGTTGCGGCTTCTTCATGTAGTAGCAAAAGTCCAGCGTATGATTGACCATGAAGAGCCTGTAGACATTCGACTTGCGGTATATGCACAGATTGAACTCGATCTTGTCTATGGGTCTGTCAGTCTTCACGCCCAGATGGAAGTTCATGCCCACCACATTGCGGCGCACCAGCTTCAGGTAGCACTCTTTGAACTCGACGAATTTCGGATCCAGAATTTTGCACTCCACGTTGGTGAACTTGAAGTAGGCGCCCAGGCAGCACGGCCACGGGGCAATTAGAATCAAAATCAGAATCAGCAACAGGCTCCACTGCATGTTGAGTCTCCTCTGGCAGTTGGTTGCAATTTGATCACAGTTTTTTTGTTTTTCTGGATGTGTAACTCTGTTCATTATTTGGCAATTACGCGGCCTGATGGCCAGGGCAATTAGTTTGGCCCAAAAGCCGGTATTTCGATTCGATTTGGAAACAGATAAAGCTAATTTTTGTTTTTACTTATTGCGTGTTTAAAGTGTGTTCAGATCCAAACTAAATGCGAGTAGGTAATGGGCACCCTCAAATGGTTTTTATTTCCCCTCCAATTAATCACTTTGGCTAATGACTCTCTTAAATGAGAAGCGGTACATTTTCTAGGCTGCAATTTTCACATTAAACATTGAGCACTGGCAGATCCTTTGGGTTATTCTTACCCAGCAGGAAAGGAATGAATTTAACGTAATAATGTAAGCCAGCCACTTAGGGTCTAAGGGTCTAAGGGTCTGATGTGCAGCGGTGCAGCTGGCAGAGATTCATCTGGCAGCGGTGGAAGTCCAAGGGCTTCACGCCTCTTACGAGAATTCTGAATACAGATGGAGGGGCTCCATTTTATGCGTACTATTCAACTGTGCTTTTGACAGGGAACTAAATGATAAATGGATTTATTTCTGGTCTCACATTAGTGCCTTCAATTATAAATCAATTTTGGATATATTGTGCATTTATTATGATGTTGTTTATTTAGATTTCGAACACTTCCAAAAATGTTAGTTCACTTTAAATTGTTATCGAATTGTCCGCTTTCGTTATTAAATTTGTGAACAGAATTTCATTCTATTAAAAGTTTAGTGCACTGCAAAAATGATGGGTTTGACTTGCACTTGTACACTGATCCATCGCTTCTTTTAATCACAGTTTTTTATTTTTATCATTTTATTCGATTAAACTTTTTGCTGTAAGCTTCAAGCTTACATATCTACAAATGGCCCGAAGAGAGTGTTCTGTTGGCACAACAATACGAACCAGAGACTGACAATTTTCTTGGCAACTGTGTCCGCCACACATGACATCTCCGCCGGACATGAGCTGAAAACTTTTGCCATAAACTGCACGTAGAAATGCCACAACAAAATGGCAAAATAACAAAAAGAAAACAACGTGCATTAGGTTGATGGGCCACCAGTGTCAGTACGCAACAAATGCTGCAAAGTTGCACCCAACAGACCCAATGTATCCCAATTTTGCCCCCCATCGTACACTTGTTTGCATTGGCAGTCGACTTGTTCTATTGTCATATCGTGTAGATAGTTGCCAGCCACTAAGTGACCTTGTCAGCTGTCAGGTTAATCAGGAGAACTTTTTAATTACACAAATTATAACTTTTGGCCCCAACGCCAACGCCGACGACGACCTGGAGCTGGAGCTGGAGCCTCGTTAAAGTTCAAGTCGCGCCAAGTTTATTATTCATAACGGAAGCGGAAACAGCAACAAGGGTCGAGTTGAGTCGAGCCTTACCTTGGCTCGTCGTCGTTATTCCCCATTCCCCTTTGGCCGTAACTGGCCTTAACCGTAGTTATTTATTTTAATAAAGCCACAAGCGACCGCACAAAACTTTTGCCATTTTACTGCAGCTGCCTTATTATTAACCATTATAGCCTCTGGCTTGGCCTGGCCTGGCAATTTCTCGTAATGATTAACGAAAACACCCCATCTTCATACGGGTTTGGAGGGGGTAGAATGAATACCTCTTGACTGCTCTAACTACCTCTGCTAGCCCCAGCCTGGTCCTGCTGATGCTGATGCATTCGAAATTGGTTAGCATTTTTGGGAAATTGCCACAGCCACTTGGAGCTGAACAAGGATTTGTTTGCTGTGTGTTGATTGGCTGGGCAATTGTTCCACTTGTTCTGGAAATTGACTTGCAGGCTTGCAGGGGATTACATTTCCATGCTACTGCATGGAATGAGAAATGACTGTAACCAGTCTCCGCTTGAGCCCACGCAGGGACACACTGGCTAGCACTGGTGTGCAATGCGGCGTATGCGTAATGCGTGCCATAAATTATGTGCTGTCCCAACTATTGGCTGGTTGGCTGGTTGGCAGGGACTTGGTCAGTTCGAGGACATGGGCCACATGTGCCAATAAATAACTCGATATGCCTGTCAAAAAGCACTGAAAGAAGCAGTGCCAAAGGGAACGATGTGGGTTGTGGGGCACGGGACCCATCAACTTGAAACGGAAACGGATATACAATTTTAGTAATTTTCGTGAGTGACCAAAGGCCGTGTCCCAAATCGAAATCGAACTGCCATCCGGATGGCGACGCCTCAAAAAAGGAAATTGACAAAAAAGAAAGAACCCAAAACATGGACAAAAAAAATGGAAAATACTGGCATTGTATAGGCATTCAGACTGGTTCAGACTCCGACTGTATGCCAAGGCAGTGGATCAGCCGAGGGCCAGTTTTGGCACAGTTTTCCCTTTTCTCTTTCTGCTTTCTGCTTTCTGTGTTTGTTTTTATTGGCGTGAAAAATGTAATAATGGTTCTACCTCCTTCTCCCTTCTCTTCTCCCTTTTCTTGGCCATTGCTCTGTGGGTGCCAGATCTGCCTGCCAGCAACATTTCTGCTCTTCTTTATGAGTATTACGAGTATGTGCCATGTGATATGTGTGCTATGTGTGGCGTATGCTTTTCTGCTTTGCCTCCGTTTCTTGTCTGAGCCTGAGGGGTCGTTGCTGAGCTTCTCAGCCGCTGAGCGAGCGAGAGTTGATGAAGTTATACGCACACTATCCTAGGGCTCCATTATTTCGTGAAGGCTTTTTCCTTCAAACTTTGTTTCTTGCCGCAGAATTTTGCAGTAAAGGTTTAGTTTCTCTTGCGTACTTTGGGGCAGTAGATTCATGCCAAAAGTTCTTTCATCGTGTTAAAGTTTTTTTGAATATACGGAATATAAATTTCCTAGTTAAAGGGATTCCTTTTTGCAGGGCATTCACCAGGCGTGTAGTTCCACTGTCATTATTCTACACATTCTCTTCCCCACACTGATTTTTCCGATTTGCTTGAGTGTGTGCTGGCGCTGGTCGTGTGAAAATGTGCCTAAGGTCAGGGCCAAGTGTCTGGCCAGTTGCTGTACAAGCAATTTCGTTTATTTGAAAGCACTCGCCAGGCCCGGCAGCCTATTCCTCATGCTCCTGCTCCTGCTCCTGCTGCTGTTCTGACCCTTCGCAATGCTGTCCATTTAGTTTTGGGCTTAGTTCCTGCTGCTGCTGTTGCTGCTGTTCTTGTGGCTGTTGCCATCAATCTCTTTCCCATTGGGTAGTTCCATTTGCTGTTGGCACAACATTTGCCTTGGACAAGTTTTTATATTTATACCCTTGACGCGTGTATTTTTATTTTCATAAGATGTTTGTGATGCAATGAAGGATGTATGTATTTTATATTCTATAAGGTATATTATGCATATATTCTGACTCGACATTAGCAGTCGAGTGCACTTAGCACCAATGGAACCAATGCTCATAATTCTCAAGCAATTTATTATTATTCATGTATCTTGAAGGGTATACAAAGCTTCAGCTAACATTCCTTTTTTTATTTGTTTCCTTCGATCTGTAGGTTTTGGCAACTGGTTCGATACTCAGTTCGGTTTTTGTGATTTTATTTCCGCCTCTTTCAATTATTTTCCAACTCTGAGGAAAGTCACTAAATCATTTTGTTGCGCAGCTGTTTTTATTTGATTTCTTTTGTGAGCTCTATATTTTGGTTTAGTTTTATTTTTTGCTCAAAGTTTTGTCCAGCATTTGAATTTTCAGTTTTGGTGCGAATATCAAATTTATTGAAGTTGCGTCGAGCTCTGACTGTGAGGCTGTTGATGGCAGGGGTGAAGAAGGGGTGAAGGGAACGCTGTGACTGCGAGGCTCTGAGTGCGGGCGGGCAGTGGCATGGTGAGCGCAATCTGCGGCTGAGTGCAGTTTTTGATTTGGTGAATATGTTTCGAGGGTCTTCCTCTCACCCTCCACCCTCGCACCGAGGACACTGAAAGTTGCTGTCTGTCTAGTTGCTGATTGAATTGCCATGTTTCGGTTAGGGAGGGGTCTCGTCTCTGTGCCAGATGAATATTGATAAAACTGAATCCGAACGTATGTATGTACATTTCTATCTATCATTCTCGATTGTAGGTTCTTTTTCAACATTTTTCTATCACTCCATTTGTGTGTGTGTGTGTGTGTGTGTTGTCACACATGAGTTTTTGGTTTTGTTCCTCTGCTTTCTCTTCTTTTTTTTTTGCTGGCTGTCCTTTCATGTCTTTTCCTATTTTTGTATGGGCTGCCTCTCTTGTTAACTTTATTAATTTGCTTTCCTCAATTGTTGCTTTGTATGCCACTTAAACGTGCTCCTGCCACATACACACACACATACACATACACTGGTTATATTCCTGTGTAAGTACCCAAAAACATGACCTCTCCTGCGGTTCGTTGTCCTGGTGCTGAATTTTTGTTGTTGCCGGTTGCTCTGGCTCGAATGCGTAAACAATTATTCCCTTCCATATTTTTTGTATTTTCTTTTTTGCATGTGTGGAGGGTCCTGGGGCTTTTGCTTGTGGGTTTTTTTTTTGTGCAGAGTCCTTGTGCTTGTCCAGGCATATTAATTGAGGCACTTTTGATGGTGATTAGATTCATAGAGCCATAAAATGGGAGTATACATATGAGTATATGCCTAATAAAATGCAATAAACATTAATTTTTCATGGATATCGCAAGTCTATGGGGGAGTTCTCAGTAGTTGCTTTATCTATCTGGCGGTTATGGTTACCTTCCCTTTTTGCTTGATTTTTGAAGTACTTTTGGAGTGGACCCCTAAGCGCACGTTATAAAAGTAATATGAAAGCGACACTTGAACATCTTTCATTGACAACAAGTGTCTTGACATGTTAGGGTGTATGGGTGTGGAAAGGGGAGTCACATTCAGAGGGGTGTGGTGTTGCAGCTGTGGCAAGGCAAGTGTTGCCAATACTCCATCGTATATATATTTGACAAGCATATGAAACACTTGACAACGAGCAAACAAACATGACAGACAGACTGGCAGGCAGGCAGAGAGACTGAGACAGGGTGGCAGTCAGCAAAGGAGCAGGGATAATATGACAGGGATATCGGGCAAGCATGGGGAGAGGAGAAATGGATTAGATGTGGTGGGTAGCAGTTGGATACCAGAGAAGGGCCGTACCGTCTTAACGCCTGCCAACATTAGAAATTGACTCTCAATATATTGAATTGAATTGTTCATCTCTGCTTGAAGTCGAGGCCAACAGATTGGCTGAACAATTGCCTCGTTGTGGCTGCCACAGATATATGTAAGTTGATGTCTGAGTATTGATTTAAGTAAGCGAATCTCTTGAATGAAATTTTTACAATAATAAAATATCTCTGGAAGAGAAAAAACAACAACAAAAGGTTCAAAAGAGTGCTACCAATGGGCTCAACCGGGATTTGAACCCGGGACCTCTCGCACCCAAAGCGAGAATCATACCCCTAGACCATTGAGCCGCTTAAGATAACCATTCCAAAAGAAATCTTCATCTCTTTTGAGGCTTAAAGCAGCAGCTGCAACTCTTTGCTCATTCGTGCATAATTAGGCAACATTTTTAATGACTTACCGAACATCTGCCAACCGGTTTCAGTCGTTGCAGGTGCATGCTGGCGCTGGAATAAATCAAATAAAATGGTTAAGCGATAAAGCTTTATTTATTTACAATTTTCTAAAACGCTTTTCCATGATTTTGCACCTCATTAATAACAAGTTCTTTGGAATTATCTCTGCCATACAAATTAGGATTATTCCAACCAATCTAACACCCTCAGACAGGAGCCTGATAGCCCCAAGTACACTAACAAATTCGAGTGCCAAATACTTGTCGTTAAAACTAATTAAAACAAGTTAATTGCCTTTTGCGGAGCAGCAGGAGCGTGCAGGATGCGAGCATTTTGAAGTGCCCACCAGCAGCAGCAGCAGCAGCACACGTACACAGCCTGGCCTCCAATTAGAGACCTAGTATAATAATAAAAACCGACGGCAATGTTGCCCCGCGTTACCCAGAGGGAGTCCACAGTCCGGCAAATCTAGAACATCCAGGGCCACGTGACAAGCACCACAAAGCAGCAGAAATACCAGAAAGAATACGCTACTTGGCCCAACGCCCGTGCTACCCCCTCAAAAAGGAGTCAATAAAAAGCCAAATGGCCATAAGAAATGCCCGGCAAAGGAACTCCAGGGGAAGAACTGGCAAACAGAGGGACACATTCGGGCTTAATGTGCGTTAAAAGGCAACCCTCCTGGATACGCGCGTGGGAATGACTTTAAAGGAAATGCTTAAACCAAAGTTTTTGGTCAACTTGTGGGGGTGGAGTGGTGAGTAGGGGCGTGAGGAGTGGAGCCCTAAAAGCTATTGTTGGGAAATTAAATTCCAACTATGTGGCGGGAGAGCTCTGCACGGACACGGACACGGCCAGGAGCACAGACACAATGGCCAGGTGGGTGGAGCAGAGAGCAAGCAGCTTTTGTTATTTTTACACTTCATTGCCGTGGAATTTACTTTGTTCGCCTTTTGTTTCCGACTTGGGTGAGACGCAGGCAAGCGTAAAGATAAAACTTGTGTCGACTTATTCCCTCGTCCTTGCCATATTCCTTATATTCGTTCTTGCTATGCCCTATGTGTGTGTGTGTGTGTGTGTGTGTTTGTGTGATTGTCATAATGTTGAGGCTTTCTGGGCAGCATAAAGGGAAACAAAAACAAATGAAAAGCTGTCACTGAACTGGAAAACCATCTCCGTTTGGCTTTCATTTCGTTACAGAATTTGATGGCCCACAAAGCGACAAAAATATTTCTTAATAATTCCCGCTGTAAGCAAATGTTCAATGATAGGGCAGGCATGAGGCATGGGGCGTGACAACGACTCGATAAGGTTATCCGGCCTGTCTGTCGTGTCTCGTCCAAGCAAACTTTTATCTTTATTGAATTTGCACCTTGGCAGCAGGCATTTCCATACTGCTCTTACATCCTCCCCAGCATGATGATGCTGATGATGGTCTTGTTGTTAAATATTTTGACATTTGACGCCGCCTTGCGCCTAAAAATGCTGACAGCGTTTTCTCGCTTTATTATATTTATTTTGACAGCCCCTGTATAAGGTTATTATCCTCTCTCTCTCTCTCTCTCGGTTACCACCATCTGAGATGTGTGTGTCTGTGCGTGCAATTTATGAAGTTCGAGTGCTGTTTAAACTTTTTACTTTATGGCCATGGCTGTGGCTATGGCTATGGCTTCTTCTGGGTGCCTAACCCCAGAAGGCGGCTGATTAGTTGAAAGAGATTTATGCATGAGCCTCCTGCTCCTGTGTACTTAAATCACACACATACACACACGAATTAATGTTTGAAGTTTATTTTTATAACGCATCGTCTGTTGCACGTGGCGTGTCACATGCGTACATTTTTCGATCGGCTTTAAGCTGACGAAGCTTTAAGCCGCCACCGAGCGGAAAACCAATTGACAAGTATCCTCTTTGCCCTCCAGTAGTTTTTTTTGCTGCTGCTGCTGCTGCTTTTGCTGTTGTTTTGGGGGCTGCCTACGTGACGTATACGTGATGGGGGACAAATGTTGCCGACGCTGATTTTTAACACATGTTCCGTTCGTGTATATTGTGTGTCCTGTGCGTGTGTATGTGCCACTGGCTCTGCCTTCTCGTATCACATTGCAGACAGCAATTTAATTTGAAATTTAATGCCAACTCTGCCAAGGCGTCGCGTGCCCAGCATACACATTGCAGCATTACCAGCAGAATTTCTTCTACCCAAAACTTTTTGCATGCTAATTAGAAACTGGGGACAACAGCAACAGCAACAACAACAACAACAACAAAACTCACTTTAAGCGTGAAATTTGTCAGCTTTAAGTGCATTAGAAAACCAACAAAGCAGCAGCAGCAGCAGCAGGCGTCAGGCTGTCACAAATAGTTGAGGGAAATTCCAAAAATATTGCCGAACCCGAAGAGAATAACTCGGAAAAGCCAACGTGCTCGGCAAGCCAAGTGGGGGTTTGGTATATGCCAAATAAACAGCGGAAAATGGAAAATTAAAAAGATAGGAAAAATCGAGAGAGACAGAGACAGAGAGAGAAAGAGAGAGAGAGCGAATGAAAACATTCTGGCCATGATTAGACTTGGCCAAGCAAGCGGCAGTTGGCAGTCAGTTCGCTTGATGAATAGCCGAAGAATGCCATGCGACGTGCATGGCTGATGACTGCCAAGGATGAGAACATCAGCAGCCGGGACACAATCAATCAAAAGAGCCAGTGGGCCAGCGTGGTGGTGGGTGGCTTGTCATCAATCTTGTAGCCAAGTGCGTATGCATCTGCGTATGCGTAATGTGAGCTCAATGAGATGCGCGGGCAATGTAATTAATCAGCTGTGGTAAGGGACCAACCCTTCATAACCCTTCTATCTTCTGCCAATACCACCACTATATATTCCCTGATTCAATCGCTAATCGGTGGTAAATGTGTGTGTGCTTAAAGCAGTAAACCAAATCTGTGACAGAACATGTATGAAAATGATTTCCATTATTAAATGTGCCACAGAAAATGTGCAGGGAAATGCGGTTAGTTCTGCATGAGAGAAAACGCCAAAGAGGAAGAGGATGAGGGTGAGGGTGAGGGAGCGGAGTGGATGGCAGACAGGCGCCGTCATGTATGCCATACAAAAGTCAACTGGACTCCCCGACAATGGCACACACAGGAAGTGTTGCAGTTGGCAATAGGAATACAGACACGGAGACACAGCCAGGATGCAGCAGGAAACAAAAAGCGGTGCAGTGCGGTGCGGGCAGGGCACTGGGAGAGGGGAAGCGGAAGCTGGGTAATTTTTGTTATATGCACGCTGACCCGCAATGGAACTAAGGGCACAAAATCCGCAAAATGCGAATGTGGCAGAGCAGCTGCCAGCACAGTTCGTACTCGTAGTCGTACAACAATGTTTTAGTCCCTTAAAACAACTAAAGGGAACTGGGGTTAGGAATCCTGCAGTGTGTCACTAAAAATATGCAAAAGTTGTCAAAGCTGCAGCTGGGGATGGGCATGCTGCCCTGGAATCAGTCAGTCTAGGTCCTGCCCCGTTCCCCATATCATGGCAGTAGTCTATTATGGGTGAAATTTAATTTACTGCAAGTGCACGGGTACGGGTACCAAAGGAGAAACAGGAACAGAGAGAGAAACACTCCTAGGATGTCGATGCGCACGATTTAATAGTTTCCTTGGCCAAGTTTTTATTCCTTTACCAACTCTTAGTGTGTGTGGCTGTGTGTGTGGCAGTCGTTGAAAGAGAGAGATTTCCCAAGCAAATGGCGGACGTAAATTGATTTAAGTGAATGTCGCAGCATATTGGCCAGGCAGCTGCAGCTGGAACTGGAACGGTGTCCTGTACTGGACAAGGACCAGCACCAAGGACTCCTGCCTGGACGCTGGACGCTTGACTCTTCGACCGGTCTCTAAATCATTTAACAAGCTTCCATGCTCGTTTGTTGCTTATAACATTTTCCTCGTAAAATTGTTTATGTGTCTGCAATGAGAGGTGGCCCTCGCACCCTCGTCCTGCAGCCTCTTTCCCACACTGCAATAACTTCATTTCAGAGAGAGAGCGAGAGAGAGCAGCAGGAGCAGGAGCAGCTGCTGTTTCCGCTACGGCATTGCACTCTAATCACATTTGGTGAGGCACCAGCCGACCTCCCCTCGAACTTGTAATTGGTTTACGCCGCTGCAGTGTCGAAGCTTTTAATGAAGTTTCCAGCGAGGGGTCCGGCAAATAGAAGCGGAAACAGAGGGAGTGTGCGTGCAAGAGAGGGGAGGGTGTGCGAGTGTGAGGCAAACGATCGACAAATTGGTGGAGTGGCAGCTAATGGCACAGAAGCAACACACAGAGAGAGAGAGAGGAGATGAATATGGCAGAGACGGAGACGCGGCATGTGGGTCAAGTTTGTCAATGAGGCATGACGCATCCGAAATACAGCAATGCCATCAGAAAATTCAACATAAATAGGGAATTACGAAACTGAAAAAGGGTTGGGAAAAGAGTTCCCAAGAGACAGTAGACTAAGGCAATGCTCTTAGCAAAATGTACCAGAAAATGTGTACCAAATTGCTTGGGAATTTGCACTTTCCATCTAACATCTACGTGTACGAGATATAAAGAACAAAGCAAGCAAGCAAAAATGATTAATTGAATCTGTGGCATAACTTTGTCTATATCTATCTAATCCCCCATTAAACAAAAAGATACAAATATAATTTACTGAAGATCTTTTGCTTGCCGACTGAATATTATCCCCGCCAATACATACTAGCCGGTCAGCTACACTTTTGTTATCAATTTGGGTTACGGGCTAAGTACAAACAGCCATAAACCCCAGTTCCCCAAATGCGTTGACTATTAGGCCAAAGATTTAGCACTCGCTGGATTCTTCGCCCTTCTGTGTGTTCGCTGCCCTTGACACGACTTGCCACGCCTTGCCACGGTTCAAGGCGTTCGGTATGTGGCATGTGGCAAGCCTAGGGAAGCAGTTACAACACCCATAACACACGCCTTGCATTCCTTTCATTCCCGTTGCCGTTGCCGTTTCCGTTATAGTTTTCGTTTCGTTTCTTTTATTATAT